AAAGACTTGCACGTGCTGTGAGTTCCAACTTGATAAATTTGTATGTGTGCATGCTGTTGCAGCGATTGGTAAACGCCCTGGGTTATCCTGCTACGAATTTATTTCCACCTTTTACAAATTGGAAGCATTGGTGTGCACATATGCTGGAATTGTTCATCCTATTGGTGATGTGTCTGGATGGGTGATTCCTCAAGAGATTTCATCAAGGAAATGTGACCCTCCATCTTGCAACAAGCGCCCTCCTGGAAGACCTAAGGAGAAAAGGTATCCTTCTGTAGGGGAGTTCCGTTATGGCAAACGTAGAGTGAAGCAAAGATGTTCGAGGTGCAAGTCTCATGGCCACAACATGAAATCATGCACCAATCCAATTCCAATGGCAGATGCAGCTCTTACTTAAGAGTTGTTTAGTATCATTTACTTTATCTCTTTCCGACTATATGTATTTCAATTTGAGATGTTCTTATTACGAATATGGATGGTTTAATGTTTTATGTTCTTTTTGTTGAACAATATGGTCCTTGAACTCCACGCTTTATATTTAATAGCCAAATACTTGTTACATTTTTACACAATTTCAAGAGTTACACTTTATACGTCCATACATGACTCCATAAAATGGAATTTATTTCCCTGTAATAAATTTAAACAATACATTTAACACCATAGAGTGTCATTTTTTTCACAGTACTCTTGTAATTTCAAATTTATGTTTTATTCTCTATTTGTCTTTCTTAACACATTGTATTGGTTGTTTTATTTTCTATTTGTCTTTTTTTGACACAATTTAAATATATGCACTTTATACTTCCATTAATGGTTGTGTAAAGAGGAAATTATTTCACTAGAATTGATTTAAAAAACACGTTTAACACAACACAATTTCAACAGTTTCACTTTCACATTACTTTAAAACACAACAAAGGCACATGTACCCAAACACAGAATTCTAGCACAGAATGAAACTAAGTCACAATGCAATATGCCAATGACCATCACTGACCATATGCATTGTTGTCATACACCAAAGGTTTCATCATACAAAGCAAAAATAGCAATAGAAATTTCAACTAGCTCAATACACAGAACAGATAATAACATCAATATGTTTTATAGTCACTCCTTTGCAGCCATATTTGACTCTGCAAATCGAACTAGCTCTGTAGCCATCTTCATCCTATATGCTGCCATCTGATCTGTACGAATGTCCCTAATGTCCATATCCATCATGAGGTACTCTGCAATTTTAAGCACAAACATACCACAACTCCCACTGCAAAAATCAAGAAATATATTAGGAGACCCTATTTAAAATATGTACAAAAAAAATCTCTCAACTACAATGTTTTGTTTTATATGTTGATACTTACGCATCAATCTGTTTTGGGCAAAAATCTGCAGCCTTCAAATCAAGCTTGTTGTCTCCCATTGGTCCAGTAGGATGATTAATGTAGACATCACACAAATCCATTAACTTGGGTAGAAGGCATTTGATGCAAGTACTATATTCAGCAATGTCTTTAAGAGATCTCCCTCCCTTTGAATTATAAACCCATACTATTTTGGACTCCGCCGCTAACACTAGCAGGACCCAATGCCCCCCAGTATTCAGTGGCATATATACAAAATCTGATCGGGCCCATGGGAAAGCACACTTTCTTGCAAAACCAAACACTTCAGCTGTCAAGTTTGAAACGCTTCCAACATCTTCTTTGGTTTTAATTTTCTTGTCAATGTCGTCTTGATGCCGCTTAAGACATTCCAGGAAAAAAGGTGTCACAGTTGAGTATGTTTGTGTGAGCTTGTAGTTGAATCTTTTCACCTCCAAGTAAAACATGCCAACCTCTATATG